TAGTGATTGTTTCAAAATATTTTAAATAAACAATATGATTTCAAATTTTCTTAAAATAAGTTTTGAAAAAATTATGAGTGATTTTCAAAAGAATTTGAAACTGAGATTTTCATTTTTTTACAAAATGGAAAAATGGTTATCATGATTGATTATCTGTCGATTTTGCTGAATCAAAAAAAACAAAATTTTTAATGAAAATTTCGGATATGCTAGGTATGATTAAAAAATGTAAAAAAATACCCTTAAAATACTTTGATCTTTCCTTTTAAGAATAACATAAAAATTTAGATGATAAAATATTTTTTCATCAAGTTTGGCACCTTTTTCATCATGCTGTATCCTTTTTTTATCAATCTTATGGAGGTATCAATATTTGTGTCATATGTGACACTTCAGTTCCACTAGTGACCTGCATACACGTCTATATATTGTACCACAGAGAGGATATCAGGACATAGCAACAGGAATATTTGCTGACATTTCCACCATTGTCTTTCATCTCTTAGCACGTCAATACGACTGATTTTGAAATTTCTGATACAACTCTCATACAAATATATCCAGTTATTTCTATATAAGGCAACCCGCTGGAAGTTAGTATGAGGCACATTGATAGCTGAGACGTTACTCTTTAGGTTGCCTTTATACCTGAGCCAGGTATTGTGTCTATATATATATATATATATATATATATATATATATATACACACACACACACAGGTTGTCCCCAAAAATGTACTCACTTTTTTACTTTGTTGTCAGTTTGAATATTTATAAACATGTATTTAATTCCATTTAATATTTAATTTAAAAAGTTAATCTTCTGTAAGTCAATAAATTTTTTATTTCTATATCTTAACTGTAGATATATATATATATATATATATATATATATATATATATATATATATGAATATTTTATTGACATTAGTTGGTTTACGCTTCTTCAGGTCAGAATGTCCTCAAAACCAGGACCTACATAATATCACTAATCATTGTAATAGCAATAACAACACAATGCAGTATATGAATTAGTAGAAAAAAAATCATATATATATTTCATACAAAATGAAATGTCTTTTATAAGCTTTTCCACTTCGTCTCATCATCTTCACTTTTGTTTCAGATATTATTAAACATCCCCCCCCTATATATATATATATATATATATATATATATATATATATATATATGGTGTGTGTGTGTAAGATTTCAGATAGAATATATCTGTAAAAGGACAATATGAATAAAGACAAAATGAAAACTTATTAAAAGAGAAATTAACTTAGAAAATTCTCATGAGTGGCACAATTGACTCTTACGAAAATCTACACAAGGATTTTTTCAAATGACTCCATTCCTGGAAGAATTACTCCCTTCACATAAGCCAACATATATGACTATAAAAATGTTAAAGAATTAAAAGAAAACAGTTAAATTCATAATCTCATATTATTTAAAATGTATAACACAAATTTATCCCATATTAAAATAATTTAAAATAATAATTTGCATAAACAATTACAAAAACATCTTTTATTCGCTTTCATTTATTAGACATTAAATTATGTCACTTAGCATTCTCCATAACTTATTTAGCCTTTTCAGTTAACCTGATGAATATTTATGAGTGTTACTTAAATTTCAAAATTTTGAAAAACTAACAACATTGTTGTTTTTGTCTATAAATACTTGTTACAAAATAAAATCCTTGCATTTACCTTGATAAAGTCACTCAGAGGACAGAACACCTCAGCTAAGATAAATTTTCCTTTTGTGAAATAAATACATATGTGTGTGTGCATCATGTGACTATAATCTAATTTCATCACTACAATAGCATTTGGATCTATATTCATTTTAAGTCTCTGATCATTAAAAGCACAAAATGCTCAACTGACTATCTCTTGATTTCTTGTCTGGAAAATAACCAACTGATGGTTAAAAGTAATTGTAACATTGTACACAATTTATGGGTTCCATTATGATTTTCCATCTAAAAACAGAAATTTTATTGAACACCAGTAGAAAGTCACCAAAACGTTTGACAGACATTACCTGTCCATTCTGTTTCATAAAACAAGTTTAAACAAAAAAATTTCTGTCAAGACATACAATGTTAAATATACACACACACACAGGTGAAGGCAAACTTCTGAAAAGCTGATCAAAAACTTCTAAGCATCCTTCATTATATATATATATATATATATATATATACATATATATCCATATATAAATACATAATATAAAAGGCTCAAACACTAATATTCCATGGTTATAATTTATTACATTGGAATCATAATCAAGATCCAATTCATCAGACCTACAAATTCATTATATATATATATATATATTTGAATTCAGATATAGATACCTCAGAAATCAAACTTCCTTATCCAAACACTACTGGGATCTGGTGGATAAGGAACTAACGCCACTTTTAAAATGGAGATACTTATCAAGAGCTAGAACACCTAATAAAAATTCAAAAAAATATATATGTATGTGTATGCATATATATTTATATTTTGCATATGTATGTGTATATTTACCACTAATATTATCTATATATATATATATATATATATATATATATATTTTCTTTTCATTAATAAATTCCCTATGAACAGAAGACAACCATAACTAAAAGCTTCATGCTGACAAACTGATGATTGTATCAGAACACATGATACTTATAGTTGTGGCTGGTCATTGAATAAAAAAAAATACTAAGGCTCTGTCAGTTAATATGGCACTGAGCTCTTTTTCTCTAGAGTGCCTCTGTAGCAGCCTCCATTAGGTGTTGCTTATTTTCATATATATATCAACAAACAGTATTTTGAAAAATATGAGAAAGTGGAAAAGTTTTTTTGATAAAAGATAAAAGAAAAACGAAAAGAATACAGATGATTTTGGCTAGATTGAAAAAAAAGAAAAGATTTTTAAACTACCGGCATCTTTCATTTTGTCTGCATATGTATGCATGGCAATGTCATCAAAGCAAAGCCCAGTCGGATAAAATCCTAACAGATGAAATGTGTCCAAAAAAAAACTTTCTATTTTGTCATATTTTTATATATATATATATATATATATATATATATATGCAGGACCAACCACTCTCTTTCAGAAGAACCAAATAAACAAATACAGACAACTGGTGCACTTAGCATGACAATGTCTCCAAATAACCCTCCTCAGGTTTTGAATTCAGAGTTATCCGTCTCCTAGACTGTTTGCCAATCAATGCTGTAAAGGCCAGTCTGTCCTGCTATTTACCCATAGTTGGGTGGGGAGAAGAAAAAGTTTCTTACCTTTCCCAATCCTATTGTGAAAGGCTATCTATTACATAGGTACTGTGTGGACCTTCAAATCTTAATGGTAAGGCATACCTGGATAAAAATGATTCCTATCATATATATATATATATATATATATGTGTGTGTGTGTGTGTGTGTGTCGCACACACGTGTGTGTTAAGTTATGCTATATTTATATATAAAAGTGCTCAAAATGAGACTAATAAATATTTACACTGAGTGGCACCTCATTGGTTTTGACCAGTGCCCACACAAATGTGTGTGTGGGGGGGGGGATAATGATATATAAATTTTTATATATCAAGAACAATTTTGGAAGGATAATGATGACAAAGTGGAGAAATTTTCATGTGGCACATATCATTGCTTAGGACTTCATCAGATTAGGTTTGTTTACATTGATACAACTGCACATGTGCAAGAACATCTTCCTTCTAAAACTACTTGATATATATATATATATATATATATATATATTAAATATATATATATTAAATATATATATATATATATATATATATATATATATATATATATATATATATATAATAAATGAGAGTGTCAGTGTGTCAAATTTGTTCAACTTCTTAGATGCCATTTTAGATCCAGCTTGAATCTGTGAGAAAATTAAAAAACATTCTGGGCTGGATATGGACACACAAACCTGAAATTATGGATTCATTAGTACGATTGTTTTTGGTGATTTTTTAGATGATTTTTTGCGAAAAATTTTTTTGTACAATAACAATTTTTATATCATGGAAATAAATTTAAAAATAATCATAATTAATTGGGAAATCCAATATAAAGTCAACCAGGAAATAAAAATAATTGTTTATACGAAAAGTAAAGACCTAAGCACATCAAACTGTCATTAAATGGTGACAGAAGAATTATCTTCAAACTTTTAAAAGTAAGCTTAAATATTAACGCAATACTTAAATGCAGCGATCAATTTTGAGTTCTGTAGTTTATTGTTGCCTATCACATCTACTCTTCCCTACCTATCATGATGAAAGAGCAATCAAACGTTCACAGCACTATTAAGCAAATTATATAAGTAAATATATATATATATATATAAAATAAATATATATATATATATATATATATATATATAAAATAAATAAATATAAAATAAATAAATATATATATATATATATATATATATATAAAAGACATTTTTTATGTTTATACGTCCTTTTTATAGACATATATAAACATAAAGAAAGTTTTAAAATAATTTTTGGACTTTGTATATATATAAACAATGACTTAATTCCACAGAACATAAAAGGCATTTTTTTACCCCCTTTAGGACTCCTTGAAAGCCAACAATTTGTTGGGAGGAAAACATTTGCCATAGTTTATGATGAGAAAACATTTTCTATTTTAAGTCATTGTTACTGTAGTTTGAATTGTTTGTATTCATGAAAATTGAAAAAAAAAATTAACACATGACTTAATTTTTTAGTTCTAATTTGAAAATACTGGAAAAGAGCACATCGGTTGTTGACAAGAATCAGGACCAGATAGAGCCAAAGGAGTTGAAATTCATATTCAGCGCACATGAATTACCTAAAATCAAGCAACAGGTATCATTCAATAAAATACATGTTCCCCTGGTTTATCTTTAAGGGATTGTTGTATTGTTAATGATAATACAAGAGATATTACCTGCTGTCCTAGAAGTCTGTGTGTATCAGCCAACTCCAAAAATACAGATACCCGATCATTTACATTGACATGAATCTTCTCCCTGACAGAAGGCTTGCCTAAAAACAGAGAGAAAAAAAGAAAGCAAGTTAGCCTGTAAAATATGTAAATAAAATAACTTTTTTTCAAGCTTTATGGATAAGAATGTCTATTAAGTTTAATGGTAGAAACTGCATTAGTATTTGGATGCTTTAATTCAAAATGCCATGATAGTAATTGCAATGTATATAAAAAAAAACTTTAAAAAAAATTTAAAAAAACTTTAAAAAAAAGAAAAAAAACTAAAAAAAGAAAAAAAAAGAAAAAAAGAAGAAAAAAAACTAAGAAAAAAAGAAAAAAAGAAGAAAAAACTAAAAAAGAAAAAAAAAGAAAAAAATAAAAAAACTAAAAAAAAGAAAAAAAAACTTAAAAAAGAAGAAAAAAAACTTAAAAAAGAAGAAAAAAAACTTAAAAAAGAAGAAAAAAAACTTAAAAAAGAAGAAAAAAAACTTAAAAAAGAAGAAAAAAAACTTAAAAAAGAAGAAAAAAAACTTGGGGAACTGGTTGTAAACTGGGAATAAAACTTCAAAATTCTTATGATATATGTTTAGAAAACATATGAAATGTGAAACTCAATCATAAAAGTATACCAACATCCATATAGTGTGTGGATATAAATGCAAAAAATTCTGTTCAAAATCAGATTCAAAGGAGGGATAAGTAATTTTATCTCTGTTTAAAGGCAGCAGCTGTAAACTTGCACAGATGCCAACCATGAAAATTATGACACTTCAGTATAAAATTGGCATTAGTCAGCTGGTGTTTGGTAAAATATTCAGAGTATACTTTTTATATATATATATATATATATATATATGATAAATATTCCATATGAATTTCAGTTTATAATATTAGTTTTGATAAGAAATATTTGCAATAACTTATTTACTAATTTCTATGTGGATTTCTGAGAAGATATTGTTTACATTACACCCTCAGTGTATATATCAGTTATAACAAATTTAGTATAGGAAACTGATTATTGAATAAGGCTTCAAAGGCAGTTTCACCCAACACCAAAATTTTTTAAAAATCATTTCATCCCAAACAAGGCAATAAAGCCACTAAGATGCAAGAGGTTATCAAATTATGAAAGATTATGAAAAAAGAAAACATTATTAAAAAGCAAAAACAATAAAAGAAGAGGAATTAAGGAAACAGAAGATGACAATCGATATTGCATTTAAATTTTTGAAGTTCAAACTTGACTGGAAAACAAGCAACCAGCAGAGATTTCCATAAGTGAGAAGTGTGAGAGAAGAAATTGTTAGTATAGAATTTATGGTTACATTTAGCAATTTGAAATGTAAAATGGTAAGACCTAATTGCCAATCTAGTACTGCACTTAAATTTATAAACTCTAAGTACCATAAAGGAATGTTCATCAGAACAATCACAATGAAAATATTTATAGAAAAGGGTTAGGAAGCTATGTTATGGTGGTGGGAAAGGGACTGAAGCAGAGATGCCAGGTTAGAATCCATAACAATGCAGATTTTTCTTTGTATTTTATCAAGAATCTCTAAATACATAGCAGAAGCAACAGACCAGATGTGACAGCAATATTTAATGCTTGCACTTATAAATGTACATGATAAATTCTGAGAAGAAAAATTGTCTAGCATGATACAGTGAACTGACTTTTCTGGCAGAAAACCTAGCAATTGATTAAATATAACCTTTTCACTTCATGTCATCAGAAAATGTTATCTCAAGAAGATACAATGAGTCACTTTCCTGGTGGTTAGCATCAGCCATAGTTATGGATGGCAAGAAGATTTTTTTTCAGAGGATTAAAAGATTGTTGTAAAAACAAAACATTAACCTGTCATGTTCTTAAATATTATCATCAGATCAAAAATTTCATATGGAAGTCATGTATGGCACCAAATTCAATTGCTTTAACAGTTAAAAATGACTGAGTGAGTGAAACCTATGGGACTTGGTGAAAACCACACTTCTTTGAGACTAGTGGTCTGGCAGTACGAAATCACAAAAAAAAAATGAACTGTAACAGATAAGAGAAATCATATCACTTGAGGATTTTCAACAACTAAAATTGATATCACATGTAAGAGAAAATAATGACAGAATCAAGATGCTGATGTTCCACACTGCTTCAAAGAAAAGGTTAGGAAGGAAACCCCCCATCAGTACTGGAAAGAGTGATAATGGTTACTGGACTTGAGAAACCTATTTTCCTGAAAAATGTTTTTAAAAAAGATTTTATAAATTTAAATGGATATGATACTGGCTACTAAAACAATGACTATCAAATGTTTCCTTATAAGGAAATGGCTAATACTACCATTACATGTGGACTATTGTTTTAATCTTTCATGTTGTTATCATATCGTTTCAGCCATTGTGCCATCCAGCCCTCATAAGGTGTATGTTGATTCAGGTAAACTACAAGGAATCCCAAACTGAACCCTTTCTTTAATCTATGGGGACAGATTGGTCTTGTTCCACCTCCTAAAGTTCAGTGATATCCCATCTAGTTCTTATCTAGTACTGATCAGTTATTGCTTGTTCTATTTCCACTGAGTCCAAGTACACATTGCCTGGCCCAGGGACTGAACTCACAATTAATTTGTCACTAAATTCACAAACCATTGCTTTAAACCACTAGGGTATTGTAAGTTACCCAGATCAACATACAACAGATGAAGGTCCAAGGGACAAAACGGCTAAAACATGATAACAAAGATAAGGACAATAGATTGCATGTAAGTAACTATTTGCTGGTGTGAGAGTTTATTTTACAACTAAAGAATGGCTCACCATGCTTAAATAAACACACACACACTATATATATATATATATATATATATATATATATATATATATATATATATATATATATATATATATATATATATAGTGTATAGATAATAATATATTTTTTAATTTCAGATAGCCATGATGTTAAGAAAGATATAACTTCAAAATAGAAATGACATATTGTAAAGTGACGAGAACCAAAAATTGAAAATCGTAAAAATGTTAAACAGAGAACAAAGAATAATCCAAAAAGAAATTGAAAACCTTGCCAAGAAAAAGAAAGCTGTCTTCAGGAATATTTGATAAAAATTGCAAGAAATGTGACTTGACCAGCAAGAAATTATTTGAAGCTGGTGAGTGTTGTAAATGTAAACAGGAAAGAAAACATATGGAATATTAAGACCATTGGCTAAAGACATGAAAGCCAGCAAACTAACACCTTTATGTAATCACAAAGAGAAACGTATAAGACGGTCAAAAGAAGTACATTAAAACTGATTTCTCAACAGTGATTTTAATGAATAAAGTGTTAGTTTGTATGGACTTGATCGCTTGGTTAGAGCTTGGGTTCTTCATGGAAATAATCAACCAACACAACTTAGTAGATAACTGAGTGAATGTAGAGTAATGCTTAAAGCAGTGGTTTCCAAATAGTGTGGTGGAAGAAGATAGCAGGTAAGGCAGAATGACTGAAAGACAATTGAAGATTTAGAAACAGTTTCAAAAAATATATATGCCAAAAATAAATGATTTTGAAATTTAAAACATTATTATAGATTACTTGTAATTTACATGTATGTATGAGTTCCATTATAAATAATTATTGATTGATTTTATCATTGTGATATTTTTGCATCATATTAAATATCAAGAATATAGTAATTAGACTCTGCAAATTGGAGGAGAGAGTTATCAATGATAAACTTCTGACTTTGAATCCATGGTTATCCCCCTTTAACCCTCTTGTATTTTTTTATCACATAAAATTTGTTTAGGCACAAGAAAATTTTAATTCCAAAAAAGCATCCCAGAGAAAAAAAAACGTTTGGGAACTACTGGCTTAAGGGTAATAAAATTAGAGGTCCCTTCAAAATAGATGATGGTACCAAGTGCAGAGAATTACTCTAAGCTCTTAGATATGATTTGAGTGGTACAGTCCCCAACCAAAAAACATTAAGCTAAAGAGTATATTTATGCAAGAAAATGCTCCACCATATTCTGCAAAATGTTTAATTTCAACAACTTCCCAATAAAAAGGTTTCAAAGTTATCAAAGTCTTGGAATGGTGCCCACTTGATCCAAATTCTAATCCAATAGAACATTTGTGGTCTGTCATTAAAAAAGATGTCTATGAGAATGGAAAACAGTAGTCATTCAAAGAAGATCCCTAGGAAGCAATAAAAACAGACGCAAATAATGTTAACTTCAAAACAATAGAAATATTAACAAAATCAATGAAAGAAGACAGATGAAGGCCATAGGATGTCAAGGAACCCATATTAACATATAAAACAATAAAATATTACTTTATTCAGTTTGATGGGATAGCGTGTTAATCAAATATGTTTTTGTTACCCTACATCCTTTGAATTTATTCATAAATAAAAAGAATTATTTTGCATTTTATTTGCATAATAAAACCTAACATTCTTGTAACAAAAAGGTATCTATCTATAAAAGGCAGGATGTGTGTGTGTGTGTGTGTGTGTGTGTAACAAATGCATGGCCACAATTTTCGACGGATTTGCACCAAAATTTACATGCACATGCTCCAAGTTAGTGGGAAGGCCAAGAGCGACTTTGCATTTCCCAACTCCCATTGATAGTGGAAATAATCAAGTTTTTCATGCTTCTCCAGCAGTTTTCATGTAGTTTGCAGCCATTTTCTACTGGCCAGAGGGAGAGCCTATAGCTGGCTGCCATGAATAGGCAGGAAGATTCTGTTGGCCAGCATGAGAGCCAACAGCTGACTGACACGAATGTTAACTAGCATGCAAAAAAAAAAAAAAAAATCGATAGCTGCATTCATCACAAGTGGGAAAAATTTAAATCTGCATGGCACTTTACTCTAATTGGCTCATTTGTTTGCTTAAACTCAACGTTGATTCTGATTCCACAGAACTGGGTTGGGTGTGAAAAAGTATTTGTTGTTAACATTCTTTTTTCATTTGGTTTTTCCAGTTACAAGTCCTTTTTTAAAGCTGATCGTTTTGTGTTCATTTTGTTTAGTTCTTTTTTCATAACAGATTTAATGTTTAGTATAGAGCTTAGAAAAAATTTGCAGTGTGAGATAGACAAGAAGTAAGGCATGTAGCAACATCAGCTCGGCAAAGGGCACTCCTTTAAAGGCAAGGAAGGGCAAAAATATTTTAAGTCAAGTGATAGCAATTGCTGTATGAGTCGTACGATTTTTGAATCAAGCATGGGCAACACTGGGCCATGCTGCTAGTTATCAATATTTATTAATCAGGATAGATATTCTAAGCTGAAACTCACATGATATAAATGGTTCATATAAAAATATCCTGAAAACTTTATCAATATCTGTTCAACTAGCTAGATGCAAATGCCACTTCTACTCTAAGTTTTTTTTTGTTTTTTTTTCTCTCTGTTGTTACCTGTGGAACTCCCTTTTGATTTCCTACTTCCCTGACAACTACAATCTTCAAAAATTTAAATGCAACATCAATTGCTATCTTCTGTCTTCTTAAATCTGTTCCTTTATTTTATTTTATTTTTCCACAATCTTCCCTATTTTCAAACTTCTCAATCTCTTTCACTCCCTGTGTTACAGTGGTATTGTGTCTTTGCATGAGGGGAAATGATTAATATAATAGAAGTAAATAGGTTTGCCTAATGTCTAGTCAACACTGTTGAACAGGAGTAAACATTTATTCCTTGTTTAGAATTGGGTTTCTAGTTATCAGAAAAGTTATCAGGCTCACTAACTTCCATAAATCTCAGCAAATAACAAATTAGAATTATTTTGAATCCTTTCTTGTAAAAGTTAAGAATTTTTACCACCATCTTGTTACTATTCATTATTTTGTGGAAAAGAAAATGATTTTAATAAAAGCATTATGTGGGGCAATGCAAAAGGAAATATTTGACAAAAAAAAATGTCATTTTGGTTCTAAAGTTTCTTGGAATGAAAAAGGAATAAAAATAATGAGGTACCAACCTGATGCTTTCATTCCAGGGAGTCCCATAGCATATTGTAGTGTTTGGATGGCATCAGTAAGTTCATTTTGTTTTTTCTGGATTTGTGCCCGAATCAGGTGATAGACAGGATGCTCCCGAACCTGCAAAAGAAGTCAGTGATTGAAAAAAAGCTACAGCTATGATGATTACATAGTCACGAGAAACGCCAGCTCAGGGAAAAAGTATTAAGATTTCATTATTTAAGCATACACACAAATACACATACACACATTTCATTATTTTGCTTTCAGATCTGATGAAGGCTTACATGGTGAAATGCATTATGGGATATATTTCTAAACAAATCTATTTTCATGAACATTTCCAATTATCAAAAATTTAAGAAACATATGGATATATAAAAAAAGGCTCTTTGTTTTTCCTTTAAAGTGGATAGGAGCATCAAAATGCTAATAGATATGAAGTGCAACTTACCTGGAAGTTATGACTGAGTCCAAATTCCAGGGATTGTGCAGCCAATTTGAAATTGTTTAGATGTAAATGAATCTGTCAAAGAATCAAGGCAAAATATTCAGTAAGAAGCAAGCTGACTATTCCATAAGCAGATATATAGATAAAAGCAAGGCAATAAAGTCTCTAAGATGCAAGAGGTTATCAAGAGTGAAGGAAATTGTGAAAACATTATTGAGGAGAAAGGACAATAAAAGAACAGTCTCAGGGAGACAGAAGATGGTAATTGATGTTGCATATAAATTTTTGAAGATCATGGTCAACAGAAAAACTAGGAAGCTGGAATAGAGTACCCCAAACAAGAAGTATGAGGAAAGAAACTTTAGTGAACTTAGTTACATCTAGAAAGTTCAACAGTAAAATAATAAGACCTAACTGCCAATCTAGTACTACATTTATGAAGTCAAGGTACCAAAAAGAAAAGGTATCAGAACAAATGCCATAAAAATATTTATAGAAAAAACACTGGGAAGTTACATTACTGTGGTGAAAAAAAGATTGAAGCCGAGATGCTAGGTCATGACTGATAATATCACAGATTCTTTTGGGGATCTAGTAAAGAACCTCAACATATACAGAAATAGCAAACAAGTTACAGCATCCTGTGTAAAACGATAAACTACGCCCAACAGCAAGGCCTCTGCTCAGGAGGTTTGGAGGAGCGTGAAACCACCTCTTAATTGCTGGTGTTCCCAGGTCCACCCTGACCTGGAGTGGTAGCACCTGTTAGGGTCCCAGCTATGGGTAAATAATTAACCCCGAAACCGAGGTAAAAAGCATTATGAAAGTGTAAGGTTTTAATACCAGAAGTACTTTGTAAAAAAATTATTACCAGAAATGAATTTTTCAAGGAAAAATAAAATATTACCAGCAATACATTTTTGAAAAAAAATATTACCAGCAATACATTTTTTAAAATAATATTACTAGCTATACATTTTTGAGGAAAAAAATATTACTAGAAATAGATTTTTGACAAAACAAAAATATTACCAGGAAAAAAAAGTTGTCGGCATTAAATAACCCATTGGTGCTGATATGCCGTAAAACAAACCAAACAAGTTGCAAGCAACAATATTCAATGCATAGACAAATGGTATGCTTATTAATGTGCAAAATAGATTCTGACAAGAAAAATTGTCTAGCCTGATCCAAACAACAAACTTTCCTAGTTGTAAACCTAACAAATGACTGATACAATCACATCACATCATGTCAGTGGAAAACAGACTGATAAGATGCAATGAGTTACTCAGTTATTTGAATAATGCAGAAAATAGAAGCCATTTGAATTTGCCACACACAGTCAAGCTATTATCCTATTACAAATTACTGGACAAGACTCAATGAAAACTGAATGTAAGATAAGACAAGGGAGAGGATGCCAACAAATAATTAAACTTCAACGAAAAGAAAAACAGTGACAGTAATGAGGAAGTCAAAGAAACATTGATCTCACTTGATTCTTAAGCAGGTGCTAGCAGGATACAGTTTTTAAAATATGTTTTTTGTGAATAGGAAAGAAAAAAAGAACCAGCCAGATTGCAGACATGACTGTGCCAGCAGAGAGAATGTAATAAAGAGTGTGAAAATAGAGAAATACCAGGACCTTACTCAGGAGCTGAAAAAGATAGGAAATATAAAGGTTAGGATCATGTCCCTAACAGCAGGTGAAGTTGGAACTTTGCCCAAAACAAATGTATTGACATTGGATGAGGTAGAAAGCAAAAGAAGAATTGTCACTGTATAGACCACAGTACTGGTGGGTGTCTGCAAAGATACTGATAAAGGTTCTTGAGATTTGAGAGGACTTGTCAATGGTCAGTGATAAATACATGGGGATGCTGAAAATTTCTGGGCCCAAACAAGTCCTTGAAAAATTTCAAGGTTTGGTCATTTAATAAAACTACAAATGCTACTTGTACAGTGTAAAAAGTGATCCATATCTTGACTGATTTGTTTTTTGTTCTTTTTTTTTTTGTTTTTCTTTTTATGGTTTACCAACCCTTTGTAAGTTATTTAAAACCAAAACATGTTTTTGCTTACAGTACCTAGTGTTCCCAAATAGTCCCCCAGCTAAGTATTGACTGAGCTCAACACTGCTTACCTTTGGTGATGAAACAAGAACCGGTGTTTTCAGTGGAGCCATGTCTTGAAAGAGTTATAATCAAAGGAAATGGACAAATGACAGTGTGAGAATTAGAAAAAAGATTTAAGTTTTACTGCCATTTGCAATATCTTGCTGCAGCACTGCTCCTAGTTGGACTAACGGCAGTGGCAAACAAAATCTACATAGGTAAATAACAGGGGTCATCATCATTTGAGAAGATATAAGGAAATAGAATAAATTTCAACAAGGCAAGATTTTCATGTGTTTTTATATCACTGAATAACAAAAGAAAGAAAATACACAGATATACATATAAAAAAAAGAAAAGATTGAAATTTAGTGTGTGTGTGTGAAAACGTTCAGTTACAAGGTCCCTGTGGGTGTTGTCACTTCTGCCACATGTTAGAAGGAAAAGAGAGGAAGAAAACAGGAAGTGTCCTGTTTTTAAAATTTCTTAACAGTTGCACCTAACAACTTCTTGACGAAACTGGCAAAGCCATGTGGGAGTAACCCACAATTTCAACTGTCCAAACCTTCACACCTTGTACTACAGAGATTTTGGCAAAAGATCAATCCCTAGATCTGTAAGCCCCACCCCTACAAGCCAGATTTAGCTTCTTGCAAACTCAAATGGAAAAAAATATTACAGACCATGCAGAAGAATAATAGGATGCAGTAGCTGATGGTGATCCAAAAAGAGCAGTTGGAAAACTAATTAAAAAAAAATGCTAGGGATAAATTTGATCTCTCAAGGAAAGTAATTTATAGTATGACCCAAGATAGGTTGCTCTTTCATTAATATTAAAAATCACTGGATCATCTCCAGACAAATCTTTATATATCTTATTAACATATACATTATATTTAGTGGATATCTGTGTTTTCCCTGCTTATGTATGGGAAACTACCGTATAGGCTGACATGGTTTTAGATCATTCAGCCATGAACAATGCCAAGGTGGAAGCAAGATTAAATTACACTCATAAAGGTAAGCCCATCTCTCATCTTTCAAATTGCATGTCTGCTACCTTTATTTTAATATCCAAAATGTAAACTAAGTAATGTCTACAGAATTAATGAATTTTTATTTATAATCCAATGTTATTCCTTATTATTATGTATGCTATATTAATTGAATTCAGATGTTTAATATCTTATTTCTGACAGTATAATATTCTGCCTGAATTTCTGGGATATATATGTGGGCAACATCTAGGTGAGAAATCCATAGACATAGTCAGCAGAATGAAAACAATCTACCTTAATAGATTAATTGAAATGGTTTCAGTTTAAAATTCCCTGAGTTTACCTGGATTGACAAGCATCTGATGAAGTCCAAAAGGCACAACAGCCGAAATGCTGTGACACTAGCAACAAACAGGAAGACAATAGTCTATGTGTAAATAATGTAAACACAATACATAATTTTCATCTACTGATCTGGGGTTTTCAAGAGTTTTTAATAAAGTAAATCTGCCCTTCAGCACACATATACGTGGTCATGTGTCATGAGCTGCGGTGCGATATTCGCTTCTGCATCTCATATACATGAGTTTGTCATTGCTTTGAAATTTTTCATGCAACAAAAACAGACTATCATTATTGTTTTGTCTGTATATTGGTTGATATATTGAAATGTAATTGCCATCTTTCATAATAGCTTATGTAAGCCGAAAGCTTAGATCAGATTTAAACATGTATCAATATGGTGATTTCCTTTCATCTTTCAATGATAATGTTATTAAGCTTATCAGACAATATGAAAGGAACTTACTTAAAATAAATAGACACAACTTGTCTGTATTATTTAATGAAACATGCATCAATGAAAAATTGCTGCCTAAATATATACAATATATATATATATATATATATATATATATATATATATATATATATATATATAAAAGGGTAACTGTGTCTGTAAGTCTGGCTAAAAGTAAAAAAATTACAGTAATTAATGACAAAGTAAATATATATACAGACTCATTATAAACCAATCCAGCTTTTGTAAAAAAAAAAATTATCATTGTATGATTTGTATTTACGAAGGTATTTTAAAATCAAAATACATTAGAATGCTTTTGAAATCCTCAGAATTAAAAAGTAAAAACGAACAGCAATAATTCTTATTCTTGATTAGGATTACCATTTGTTTTTAATTTTGATTCTGTGGATACTTTCAAAATGCTATATTTTTTAAAATTTCTATTCTCTTGAATTTGTTTTGTCATCTATTGTAAATAAAAACACAACTTAAAAAACAATTCAAACAAAGTAAATTTAAAAGAAGAAGAATATTAAATTCAATTATTTGAAAAAAAATTTAATATTTATTTATTCCAATATTCAAGTGTGTTGTGTGTGTATGTGTGTGTCCAACTAAAACATCTAATTAAAGTAAAACTTAAATTAAGATATATTTAAACATATTTAATCATTTTTTCAAGCAAAAACTATAGCAAGGCTTACAAAATAAAAAAAAATAATTATTTATTTTGGAGGGGATTATTATTAATAAAAAAGTAAATAAACATAAGAATTTAAGATATATTTAAACTTGAATATTTATTTACTATTTATTTTGGAGGGTAATTTAGATTTTTTAAGTAAATAAAGTTTTACTTTTAAACATTACATAAAAGGAGCAAACCTTTCTCCGTAAATTAATTTAATTACTATTTTGAGAGAGAGTAGAAGCAAGATACATTGAGAATTTAGTTTTGAAAATCGATTATGTTTGCATTTCAAGTTATATTTGTATTTGGAAAAAAAAAAAAAAAAAACTTTAGTTAAATAAAAATTAGGTGAGACAAGACATGAATTATGGTCAACATTAGTCATGTTGAATATTTGTTTTATGAATTTAACTACATTTTATTTAAATTAAAGTGTCTTTTTGAATAAAAATATGGCAATGCTCAGC